CCCCAAAACCCCAAAACCCCAAAACCCCATGAGTAAATATTATGTAATTTCTTGATAAAATATTTCAGCCTTTTTTAAACATGATTAATTCCTGAATTAATATATCTATAATAACATAAGATTTACTATGGAATAGTAAGAGGAGACATAAGTAATAAAGAAGTAAGCTTAAGATGAAAAATACTGGGATGACTTCTCGTCTGAGTATGATTAGCATGTTACAAGAGTATCAACACAGCCATTTATAACACTCTGTACTTAAACTAATGCATACAAATGTAAGTGAATTCTTGAGGTGGCTTGCGGTGGAGGGTATCATTCTCTCATTTTAGCTTCAACTATACTTTAAAAAGGAGGAGTATTAGTATCATGCGATTTTAGTGGTAAAATGATGGAACTTACAAATACTAAGTTTTAAGAGTCAGAATGGGGCTCTTAGATTAGTGGAAACTCATTTAATATTACACCAGAGTAATTGACGTAATTAGGGGATCACTCCTATGATCTTGAAAATTAAATTAGTAAATATATGGAGAACGAGCATAATAGGTTTTTTATGGGCTGCTAAGCGAATAACGAATCATTACCATTTAAGAACGATACTTTTGACTGCTATATTGCTAATTTATCTCTCATGATTGTTGATAACCACGTAAATTAACTATCAGAAGCTTACAGAGTTTGCAAAAGAGGCTCAAAATTCGGCTTTTCGGTTTGGGGAAGAGAAGAAAATAATAATAATTTTAAAATAGTCAACTAAATTTTCGAAAAGTATTAACTTGGTCCTAAAGTAAAGCCAACTAAGACAAATTTTCACATTTGCTAAAATCAAGATTAGGTAAAAAAGGAGATGGAAGATATTGGCTATACTAATATCAAAATGTGGCTCTAGCCTATGAATTTCCCATATCAAGATTTCAATGATTATTGGGAAACAATGTTTGCTAGACCAACATTCGTGCCACTTTTAGCTAAACTTAGTGAAGATGAAAGGAAGCAGATGAAATAAGATACTGAAGATCTTTATGATTAACTTTTAGGCAAAGATGCTATTGACCCGAATTGCTTTGAATTGCTGATAATAATAGCTGAAAAATAATGAATAGAAATTAAAAAACATATTTAAAAAACGTCATTAACTTTTGCCTTGTTCATAAATTATTTCATATTATTTAGTTTAAATTTAATTAT